CTCACCCTGTGCCTTTGTCTGCTGCAGCAAAACAAATACACTTTACACCTTACACAGGGACTATAGCTGGAAACTTATAGAGATAAAACTGACATATTTACAACTATATATAAAGTGTCATCCACAATCCCCATGTTTTAAAAGCCCTGAAAGCCCAGGTCTTTAAAACTACCTTTCATTAACTTCATGTTTGCCTTCATTTGTCTCTTCATGTTAATTGATTTTGAGTATCTTAAAAAGTGTTGTACAAGTGTTATGTATTATTATTATTACTTAAGTGATTGATAGCATTTAACTTTCAGTAAAGTCAACTGAATGATGAAAAAGAAAAGTTAAAACCATACTTTAGAACACAGGTGTCAAACATGCAGCCCGGGGGCCAGATCCGGCCCTGCAAGACCTTTAATGTGGCCCTCGGCTGATTTTCTACTAAAATATTTTAATTATATTTTCTATTAAAATATTGTAAATTTTCTGTGGTGCTTATCACAGCAGCGTCTCCAGCGTCTCTGTACGTGGCCCCTCCAACCAGAGCAGCACAAATGAAGACTTGTCTCTTTCCAAACGCTCTTAAAGGACGATCGTTTTGACTGTTGACCGTGACACCCTCATCAACAAAATGTCCAAAATGAGAAAAGTGGAGCTGAGTGCAGGATTTTCCAAGAAAAATTTACTTATTCCTATTTATACAAGTTAATGTTAAACAAGTTCATGCTAAAACTTTGTGTTGAAATTTTATTTTTCTTAAAGTTTCAGGTTGTTCATAATATTATAATATTTTGTAAAAGAAAGAGTTCATCAATTAAAAAAGATTTCTGTAATAGATTTGTGTTTCTCTGCACAAATATTTGAACTTATTGTTATTTTTGGGGTTTATATGACATGAGTTTCCTGATCCGGCCCCTTTGGGATCAAAGTCGGTTGGATACGGCCCCCGGACCAAAATGAGTTTGACACCCCTGCTTTAGAACATTCTTCATGGAAATGCATTTTATACCATCCCAGCCCCGTTTGATATTTTAAACCTTCAACCCTACAAATAGACAAATCAGAATCGTGCTGACCCCACAGACATGAGGAGTAACACATAATATTGCGTTAGTCTTCTATCACTTTACAATTCTGTGCATTATTCAGTCACTCCATACAACTATTTGTAATACTATTGTAGCCACAGCTGCCCCGGGCGAGACTGAGAGAAGTGAGGCTGCCATGCCTGAACTCATGGTTAGTCACTCTTAGTCTTTATTTTCTTTTTCAGCAACAATACCAAGATGTGAATCAGTACATGAACATTGCACTTTTTATTTATTTATTTCTTATTACTTTTTCAATTTTAGTATGGAACAAAATACAGGGTGACAGTGACAGAAATGAACTGTCACTTCTTATACATGTATATCAGAGACTGGAGAAAAGCCCCAAGTCACACCTGTATAAAACAGACAAAACTGGTTTTCAAAGCTTCATAAATGTGGGCTTCTCCACTTCATACTCTCTTGTTTAGATAAGGGGAGGCTGCTTTGGATCAGTTGATCTTTATACATTTGAAGGCAGCAGTAAATAAAATATTCAATGGGATATCCTGTTTAAAAATAACTTTAAGCACATAAAAACATCTTTTTAGAACATATCCAATTTAGGACGATGACAAAATACATGAGTGTGGTTAGCAGTGACCACCCCACGGTTTCTCCAGCATGAACCAGCACACACTGGTCCCATCTTAGTGGTTATATCTGGTGTTCTCAAAAATCTGGTAAAAACTTTCCGCTTGAATTCCCGCCAACTGTTTTGAATTTGTAACAAGATGTGATTCTTTACATATCACTCCCCAGGTATCCACTGGTATATTTATTGTCATCTCTGTCTGGCCTTACTTTAAAACCACCATCCAGTGTTGCCATAGTCCTACTTATTCATGTCAAGTTAAAGGTACTGTGTTGTGCAAAAGTGACTCTTGTCAGCTTTTAGTCACATTGGAATCTTGTTACCTCTTCAAAAACATAACTGGACTTGTGTTTACCCTTTATTATTAGTCTGTCTACATTGCCAAAGCTCAAAATGCTCCAAAATGTTCCATCTTGTGATGTTAACAGCTCCTTTTACCTTTAGTTCAGTAGAGATTGGCAATTCCAGAAGCTGAAATCATCCAAATGATTCTAGTGAATGGTGTATGGAGTTTAAAAACACAGTGGAGCACTTCCTGTATTACCACATTACATCACAAGGTGGAACTGAGTGTTTTCTTGTGTGAGAGAAGAACTCAGCCTAAATGTGCAGGTTTGTGTGTTAAACATGTGTGAATGAAACAAAACACAACTCCAGGTCTGTTTGTGATGAGGAAACTACTTTAGAAGAGATCAGGAAATAGTGTAATGTGGGCCCTTTCAAAAACAGAAAACCAAAGCCCAGGAATACAAGTTGACACTGTTGCCAATATGGCCACATCACCAATTTGTGATTCACATACAGGCGATTACCAGAATATTATTCATGTAAATGAGATTGAGAGGGTTACAGCCAAAGTTCAATTCCTGCTTCTGTCATCTCACATTCAGAGGAACCATAACAGAGGCAGGTGTGTTCTGGCTCCTCGTTTATCTACGCTCTCAAACACAAACACAGCAGGTCCTTTGCAGAGCACACAAAAGGACCTGGAGAACGAGTTTTTGAAAGTGAAACTACCTCTCACAGCCTGGACGTGTTCAGCACAGGCACTAAAGTTTATTTTACCAGTTTGTTTCCTCGTCTCAAACAGACCTGGAGTTATTGGAGTGTTATGTTTCATTCACACCTGTTTAAAGGTGTGTAACTTTTCGGCTGGGGTTCCGTCACCTGCTTGTGTCTATGGAGATGTCACTGCTCTGCCTGGAATGTTCCACAGTGTGACATTGAACAGCTCTACTTTACATGTGCAGTTACAGGCGGTTTTATGGCTCAAAAAAACCTTAAAAAACAGACATTGTGACTGTGAGCGGGGTTGCCTCTCCACAGATCAGGCCTTGAACTTGGTCTGGTTTGGTCTCTATGTAGACAGAAAGGTTTAATGCCATACTGTGAAACATTCTAGACAAAGTAATAACATCTTCATGGAGAAAAGTGTTTGACAAACCCTCTACCAGAAAAGTTACACAATGCACCTTTAATGCACAAATCATGCAAATCATGTCCATTTCTTAAACAGAAAACACTGTTCCACCTTGTGATGTCATGTGGTAATACAGGAAGTGCTCCACTGTGTTTTTAAACTCCATACACCTTCACTAGAATCATTTGGATAATTTCAGCTTCTGGAACTGCGACAATATGATACATATCTCAATACAGTGCACTTTCATTTTGATATGATATATTTCAAAATGATTGGATACAGTTCAATAAAAAATAAAGGCTAAATCATGACTGTGATACTAAAAGTCTTTGTTAAACCACTTCTTGTGCAAAGTTACTATGAAAAACACCCATTTTACTCATCGAAACATGTCAAATGTGTCACATCAACAACTTTTCCTCCACAACACAACCAACAAAACTGTAGCTCTAACAAAATAATTTTGTAAAATATACCAAAAAATACTCTTGGCGATATATCAGTACAGCAGGCCATGATATCAATACTGTATCATGACATTAAATGATACGATATATCGACATTTCTATGTTTTTGCTCACCCCACACTCACAAGGTGGAGCAGAGCATTTGGAGCTTTGGAAACGTAGACAGACTAATAATAAAGTGTTACTCAAACGTGTGAATGAAACAAAACACAACTCCAGCTCTGTTTTTGAGGAGGGAACTTTAGAACACGACTTTAAGCTCACAAGAGTCAACTTTGCCCAATATAGGATCTTTAACTCAGTGTCATTAAACCATGATTTTTTTAAATTATTTTTTTAATAGCGTGTTTTATTTCAGTGTGTAAATATTTAATCTTGCATATTGCTTGGTGAGTTGTGTAACATTAGCCAAACACAATGACTGAAGTAAGGAGAGGTTAAAACGTGGCATAGAAGCACAGAGGAGTGAAATAAATGTGGAAAAAGCTGATGATAAACACGAAGCACGTTCCTGTTTTTGGCTGTTTACTGCACCACAAACTTGGAATCACTTAAAGGTGCATTATGTAATTTTTCTGGAGGAGGGTCCATCAAATGCTTTTCTCCATCTTCATGGAGACCAAACCTGACCATGTTACAGGTCAGATCTGTGGAGAGGTGACCCCACTCACAGTCAGTCTGTTTTTCTAGATATTTTTGAGCCATAAAACCACCTGTAATTCAATAAATGTAAAGTAGAGCTGTTTAATGTCATACTGTGGAACATTCCAGGCAGAGCGATGATATCTCCATTGAAACAAGCAGGTGATGGACCCCTACCTGAAAATGTACATAATGCAGTTTTAACGTATTTTGTGAATTGTTGAGATCAGCCTATGATTCAAAAGTAGAATTCGGGTAAAGTTTTGATTTTATTTATTAAGAAAATATTAGATACAGACCCTATGGAGTCTGTTGTTGTGGCAAGTGCAGCCACATTGATATGACATATTTAAAGGTACATTGTGTAACTTTTCAGTTGTGGGTCCTTCAGCAGCTTGTTTCTATGAATACGTCATCACTCTGCTTAGAATGTTCCACAGTGTGACATTAAACAGCTCTACTTTACATTTACAATTACAGGAGGTTTTATGTGTCAAAAATACTTAGAAAAACAGACATTGTGACTGTGAGCGGGGTCGCCTCTCCACAGATCTGACCTGTAACTTGGTCTGATTTGGTCTCCATGGTGATAGAAAGGTGTGGCACACTGTGAAATATTCCAGACAAAGCAACAACATCTCCATGGAGAAAAGCATTTGACGAACCCTCCACCAGAAAAGTTACACAATGCACCCAATTCCATCCACTGGAATGGTACTAAGAAAACATTTCAAATCATAATTATATATATTTGCAAAGTTGTTTTTAATGTTTTTTTTAATTTTTATTATGACTAGGCTTTGACGGTGGCGGGTCTGGGCTCTGGTCTGACTGAGGCTGTGGTGGTGAATCCTTTTGAGGTGGTCAAAGTGAGTCTTCAGGCCAACAGAGACGCGTTCAAAGAGGTACATGTGCATGCACTACTGCTATTACTACTACTGCTACACCCCGTCACTATAATGTCTCTTTAACTATGTCACTTTTCTGGTTGTTTCCATGGAGATCAAATCAAATACACTTTAATCATTTTGTCCCAGAGTGTTTACATCTGCAGAACACACTCGCAATACAAAGACGACGTGCAGTGTTAGAAATAAACACATTTAGCGAAATAAGTCTAAATTGTCATAACTCTTTGCATAAAAATCACTGTGACCTGGAACATACATAATGATCTAGAGGTAGAACTATTAATGCCATATTTAAAGTCATACCATGGAACTTTACAAGCAGAACAATAACATCTCCATGGAGACAAGAATATGGCTTGAGCCTCCACCAGAAAAGTTGCGCAGTGCACCTTTAATATGAAAGATGAAACATATTTTGGAGGACTGAATATCTGTGTTTATCTGTTATTATTATATATGTTATGACAGGCTCACTAACTCATTATAATATGTTTTTAATGTGTAATTTCTCCTGGTTTCCCATAGCAACCGTCCTCGTTTGCCCAGGCGAGGAAGATCATCAAAGCTGGAGGGTTTGGGCTGAACGGACTGAACAGGGGCCTCACCTCCACTCTGGGACGACACGGGATCTTTAACATGATCTACTTTGGGTTCTACTTCAATGTCAAAGATGCTTTCCCCGCCAGTCAGGTAAGAACACACCAGGAACTCTGTGGATACTGATACAGAGATATAGATATAGATATAGATATAGGTACAAGTACAGGAGCAAGTTCAGGATACAAGATAACAAGATATATACATATATATATATATAGAGAGAGAGAGAGAGAGAGAGAGAGAGAGAGAGAGAGAGAGAGAGAGAGAGAGAGAGAGAGAGAGAGAGAGAGAGAGAGAGAGAGAGAGAGAGAGAGAGAGAGAGAGAGAGAGAGAGAGAGAGAGAGAGAGAGAGAGAGCGAGAGAGAGCGAGAGAGAGCGAGAGCTAGATCTAGATACAGGTACCGGTACAAGTACAGATACAGGTACAAGTAAGAACACAACAACAGGAACTCTGTGGATACTAATATAGAGATATAGATACAGGATACAGGTAAGGTACAAGTACAGGTAGAGGTAGAGGTAGAGGTACAGATACAGGTACAGGTACAGATGAACAAGTAAGAAGGCATTCTATTGTTTTCTGGTAGATGAAAAAGTAAACTATAACATTTGTATATAACTATTTTACATTTTGTTCATTTTAAAGCACAATATTTGTTTCAAAAGGCTTCAGGCTGTAATAGAAATGTATTTATTGACTTCCTGTTCAAAACTGTAGAACTGATGACCATAGCTAGAAGTAGAAATGTATTTATGATAACAATAAAATATTAAAATTGTCTTGGGGCTTTTCCAAAGATTAAAAGTTGCTTTATATTTTGTGCATTATTCTCTCACTCCACACTGCTCTTAGTACTATTGTAGCCATAGTTGCCCTGGGGCAGACTGACGGAACTCAAGATACTGAAATTTGGGGACCAGGTAAAATTTAAAACATGCCAAATCTTATTTAAAGCAGAACTCATCCTGCTCTCAGATAACATTCAAAAACTGTTCTGCACAAATGAATTCAAGTACAACCTGAAAGGTCAAATGAATTTTAGAAAACAATTCTCTGGATCCCATCTCAAAAGCATGTGTGGAGCAGACTTATTGAATAGTTTAGATGACCATGTCAAAGCTTGTACTAATTTGGTGCACTTCACAAAACAATATAAAAATTAAATCTTACAGAAATATCTAGAAGACTAGATCCACTGTCTTCACAAACCATGACTATGAACTAAACACATGCTTTTCTTTAACATTACCTTTTATTTTGATACGATCATGAACAATATATTTTGTCTTTTTTATCATTATTATTAGTTTGTATGACCATAAACCAAAACAAAACTGGCATCTTTAAAAAATGAAGATAAGAAAAAAAAAAAAAAAAAGAAAGTCTGATTGTATTTATGTTAGAAGGGTTAGTATATGGAACAATTTGAGTGATGATTAAAACAAAAAGTCTAACACTGTAGAAGCCTTTAAAAGAATGAATGAATGTATGAAATATATTTTGTCGCTTATATATGTACAGTAAGTTGTAAATGAAATTGTAAATGCAAACTTGCTGTTCATATGATACCTTTCTTTCTTGGAATTCTATCATTGTTTAAAAGAGTTTGGCATTTGAAGAACTTTGACTTCAGCCTAAACCCTTTCGGTGATCCATGGGGTTTGTAGTGTATGTTTAGTTTAGTTTTGTAGTGCTGCAAAATGACCGAATAAAAAACTGCTACTTCTACTAATATAGACCTGACTCCAAATTCGCATAATTAACTGTCGGCCTCGATGAGCTTCATTTGACTGAGGCTGAACGCTGTGGGTGATGTCGCACTCTCACAGTCCACTTCTTTACACAGTCTGTGGATCAGGCTTTGACGAGGAGCTTTGCAGGTGAATGTTTTTATTGTTTAAAAATGGCCATGTGACATTTCTGAACCCTGACTCAGAATTCTTAGAAAAATCAGAGAGACTGCTCATGTATTTACTGAGATGCTCCTCTTATTTTTCCAACTTGCATCTCTCCATTTGTAATCTCCGTCCATGTTTGACAGTCTGATTAGCTCGTGCTTTGACATGGTGATTAGTAGCCTGCAGGAGGAAGGAGGAAATCATTGCGATGGGCCTGGGCTAATACCTCTGCGTCTGTGTACTCTTCATAACATCCTCAAAGTCTCTCGTTTCACATCCGTCCCAAACAAACGCTCATTCTGTTTAATGGAAGGAAGCGTTGCCATACGGAGCCCTGCGCACATGTACAGGCATTAGATCGGACTAATGGGAAACAGACTGGGGTATTATAAGAGAGAAGAGAGATTACAGTGAGGAAATAAATACTGGGGTTTGTATTGATTAGTTATAGACCTGGGTTAGTCCTGGTTTGGACCTGGACCTTTAGTCCAAGTTTTTTTCTGTTAATATTATAAGATTATTTGGCTAATCGATAACCAATGTGTCAGAAAGTGTATTTGACAAAGCTGATTTTTATTCTTAGGGGGTCCTATTTTTGCCCTCTGGTCTTCTGCAGGATTAGCCCAAATAAAGATAAACAGAACTGCAATTGTGAAGAAATCTATTAAGAATTACAAACAAACAGTGAATCGTGATACAGACCAAAAATTGTTATACCAAATAGTGGGTCTGCATGTGTTCCAGATTTATTTCTTTTATTAATTAATTAATTAATTTATACCTGATTTGTTCCTACCGTTTCAATCTTTTTAGACCTACTTTTGATCTGGTTTAGTGTGGCTTTACTCTGGGGCTTAATCCAGTTTTAGTCCAGGTTTTATCTTCATTTAGCACAAGTTTAGTCCGGGTTTAATCTTCTTTTAGTTCAGGTTTTAATTTGGGTTTAGTTCATCTTTAGTGCTGTTTTTTCTTCATTGTTTATGGTTTAGTCCTGGTTTATTTCATCTTTAAAACTGGTTTAGACCCAGCCTTTGTCAGAGTTTATTGTTTTTAGTCCTGGGTTTATCATGGTTTAGCCCTGGTTGAGACCTGCTTTAGTCCTGATTTAGTCCTGGTTCAGTCCTGGTTTCGACCTATTTTAGTCCTGGGTTCTTCCTGATTTTATACTGGTTTACTCCCTCTTTAGTTCTCGTTTAGTTCTAGTTTAGTCCTGTTTGAGTCCTGGTTTAGTCCTATTTTAGTCCTCGCTTTGACCTGGTTTCATCCCGATTTACTCCCTCTTTAGTCCTGGTTTTGTTTTTGTTGTTTAGTTGTAGTTTAGAAGTGCTTTAGTCACACTTTTTCCTGGTTTAGTCCTAGTTTAGTACTGGTTTAGATTTGGTTTAATGCTGGTTTAAGTTTGGTCCTAGTTTAGTGCTTTAGTCTTAATTTAGTCCTAGTCCTGGTTTAGTCCTGGTTTACTCCTACTTTTTTCCTGGTATAGTCTTGGTTTGGTTCTAGTTTAGCCCTAGTTTTATCCTAGTTTAGTCCTGGTTTACTTCTGGTTTACTCCTTGTTTTTTCCTGTTTTATTCTTTCATTTCCAGTCAGAAGAATCCTTTGCTTGCACATTTTCCAGAGCCGTGGTCCAAAGCATTGGTCATCTCCTCAGTTCTAATTACATGGCTGGATGACTCAAATAGACTCTGGGCTGTGTGCATCCATAGAACTGTCCTCTATTTATGAACATCCAAGTGCGGAGCTGTCACTGCTTTTACGGATTCCCATGGATCTGGAGACCACATATTGTGTGGGATTAAGGAATAGTCAAGGCACTTTTTAATTTAGAGTCTGTTGAGATTAAATTAAGTGAACTCAATTGTGTGGTGTTCCTATGGCGACATATTTGAAAAGGGCAAAAGAGAAAGTTGAAATGCTTGTGGTGGTTTCATATTTTCACTGTAAGACTTTTGTAAAAAGGAGCAGTTATTTTTTTTGTAATTCCTCCTTGGTTTGGTGGTATAGTGCCTGTGGTCAATATTTATCATAGTTTTACATCAGTTAAGTGGCAGTTTGTGGAGAAAAGTTGAGAAGAAAATGTATAAAAATACAGAAAATAGGACTGAGTTGTAAAACAGAATCCCTCTGCTTATGTCATCAACACGGAAACCTCCATTTAAACTGCAGGACAGTTTACGCACAAGGAAGGACTTTTTGTGACAGTTTGAACCTTCATTTGACTAAATAAATATGTTGTAAATATTTGTCTAATCTTGACTATTGTGTCATTCAGAGTGTTTACAAGGTGGATGCAGGTAACAGAGTTCCACATCTGCTGCCATTTCCAAACAGGAAGTAACTCCAGACAAAACTATGTTTTAGACTACATCTTAAATATGACGATGTTAATTAGTTTTACTGAAAGAGTACTTTAACCTGTCATATGCACTTTAAAGGTGCACTATGTCACTTTTTTATGGGTGTACATCACCTGCATGGAGTTCCTGCTATGCCTGGAATGTTCCACTACTTGGCATTACCTTTCTTACTTATTGTATTATTCAATCACAGGAGTTTTAAAATGTGAATGAAGGTGCCTCTCCTCAGATCTGACAAGTAACGCATGTAACAGCGGAGGAGAAAATGCTTATAGATGCAGACAGCACACAGTGAATTCACGTTGAGCCTAAGGGTGCACTCACACTGGGACTTTTGAACCGTGCGATGCTCCGACACGATTGCTGTGGGTGGCTGCACCTGAGCCATGGCCAGGAGCAAAGTTTTTTCACTGTTTTCCTTGTATGAGTGACAGATGTGCACCTGACAGGACTGCTACACTACAGCGGTACATGTGTGCGTACATGAGCTCTCTGCTTTGGCCCCTCCTCCTCTGGGCCACAGTCTGACCTGTGCGGTGCCTGGCACAGTTCATTTGGGCGAGTGTGAGTGCACCCTCAGAGCAACAGTTCATCAGAACTGTAGAAGCCGCTTGGATGAGTTGCAGTCAAATAATTTTTTGTCAGAAAAGAACTGAATTTCTCCTTTACCATGGATCCTACTGGACGACTGAGGAATTAAACAATGAATCTTTAAGTACAGTACTTTACTATTTTGTTACATTCCACCACAGACTAAATGTGGTTCAAACCTGGTATTGTGCTCTGATCCGGTCTCCCTCTGCCCTTGGTGAAGAGGAGCTGTTTTCTTAAAGCT